ATCAATCTATCATTCTGCTTTAGTCCACGAGTTAGATAGTGAGAGTCCACCAATTTCTATGTCCATTAAATCTACGCCAGATACTTGTAGCTCTGCGATTGAAAGCGATGAAAGTTCCGCAAATAGTGCTGATGGCTATTCTGCTAGAATACGGAAAGCAATGGAAAATCGGAAACGTCTACTTAAATTAAGCATAGCAAATTCAACATTTAATTCTCCATTGAGTTGTCGATCTCGACAGACTGATAGTGGATTTTCAACGGCATTTTCCGCTGCTGCGCACTTCAGTGATTATATGCTTGCGACGGAGTCGCCTTTAAAATTAGTAGACGATGATCTCCTAAGGGAAGAACCACCAAAATTATCAAACGCCGAAAATGATTTCGAAGCCGATCTAGAAATGTTGAGTATCCCCATGTTGAGAAAATTGCCATCACCAGTTCCTGAAGAGACTTCGTTACTGACAAGGGAAGCAGAAGAAGTAATGCCTGCGCCACAAAATTTGACGGTTCCAGATTTATCGGCTCTAAGAGAAAAATTACGGGCAAAGCGAGTGGAGGCCTGTAATGGTCATGATGTTGTGTCTTTAATAGATAACTTAAAATCTTTGTTATGCGATAACCAAATTGTGGATGACGATAAAAAAGTGAAAGCCAACTGTTTGTTAAAAAAACTGAGTACAGCCTTAAATACTGAAAAATGCGAAGATAATAACGATGAATTAATAAAAAATGTACATGATAGTGAACCATCAACGCAAGTGCCACAAACCATTGTGCGACAGGGAACTTTTGATATGGAATTAGAGGTATGAAAATGTGAAAATGCAAATATTAAAATTAATAAATTATTTATTTTGTTTTTAAAGACGAAAAGTAATAATGGTTGTGACAAAACTAGTGGAACTGCAGCATCGAATGATGATAACTCCCAAATGCCACATTCTATTCAGTCTACACAATGTTCGCCACCTACAAAAGAAATGCCAGAAGTAATGTTAAAATCCTCTGGTACATTTGATGGCGAACCAGTAACGGAAAGGGATAATCTGCTCTTACCACATGTCAACGCTCTTTCACCAATAACATCGCCAATCTTTAAACCATCCTTACAAAACACTGCCGCAACAAATCCAGATGTGAATGATATCATCGAACAAATAGGCAAACTACTTGAGCAACACCAAATTGCTACCCAAGCACCTAATATGGATGCTACGAAAGGTATTAATTCGTCAGGAAATAACCCGTTACAGCAATCCACAATGTGTAACCCCACATTTATTGTTGTTATGCCAACAAATTCAGTACAACCAACTAATATCCAAGATAATAATACCTCCAACTGTAACGTTGCATTGGATGATATGGATAGTAATATTGTACCTCGACGACGTGCACAATCTTTATCAATACATGACAAAGTTAAATTTGTACAATTGCCAATACGGTCGCAAGCATCCCCTTATATTACAGGTGAAGTACAGTCTCCTCTTATTGAGGGTGTGTCCCAAATAAATACCTCTATAGTAGAAATGAAAACACCAATACGTTCTACTCAACGACGGAATTCGTTTTCCAGTGGTACACCACATACGCCTCTTAGCTCATTACCTCAAGGAGCCGGTGCGACAAACTCTCGACGTTTACAAAAGTAGGCTTAAGTTCTTGAAATGTATTTATACTATATAAATGTATGTTAAAATGAATTTTTGTTTTGTTAGCACTTCAACAATCCAGTCGCGTTACTCACTCGGTCCTTCTAAATTACAAGAGCATGAATCTCAACAACATGCCGTTATGCACCCTATTTCACGAACCAATTTGAATGTTTTCAAACCGGATTTAAAGAAAAGAACCAAAACTCTGACGACGAAAACTTCGATTATGGCATCCAATGGCCCACTTAAGGCTGTAATGCCAATTAAGAAAGTAGCACCCATGCTTACAACTACAATTGCTACACCAGAAGGATCCAATGTAAATTCACGTATACCCTCCCAAACCATTAACATGGAAACTTCAATGAATTTACTTACCATGGCTGGTAAATTATCCAATACGAGCACACCAATGCCACCAACTCGAAGTGGTGAACAGATTTCAGGTTTTCCCAACGCATGCTCAACACCAGCCATTTGTAGTATTGCTAGAAGACCCAATGGCACGATAACAAAGAAAAATCCTCGGTTTTCAGTCTCTACACCGTCAAAATTACAGCAGCCACTTGCAAATACTTCGGGAGTAAAGAAACGGGCTTTACCTGAATTGACGAAGATCAAGTCACCGGTGCGCTCGCGAAAAAGTTTGAGCGGATTGTCTGTACCAGTAGTACGAGGTAGACAGTCGATGGTGAAACAACAGAATGCTTCAAAACAGACAACATCTCGATTGGTAAGTTCTGATAATTAAAAATAGTAGAAATAGTTATTATATATTTTTTTGTTTCAGACCACGAGATTAAGTACTCGTTCATCACTTTGTCCGGCATCTACATCTACTAATAAAGAAAATAAAAAGCCATAAATTTTCGAAATAAACAAGTCCATCAATCTCTTACTATTCCTTTTTGCATTTACCGCTTTTATCATTTGCCTATTATTTAGCGAATAGTCGAAAATATCTGCAGAAATTGTTGTTCAGCTGCTTCAGTGCGAAGGATTCGTTATTGCGTGTTTGTTTCGTACTTATAACATGTTTGTCAACTGAGTTTTATTAAGGTTATACGTATAATTTACTTTTCTTACATCTATTGAACTAAAAATTGTATTATATATGTAAATGTTCAACTAAGTGTAGAACCTTTCTGTTAAACTCTATTCCACAAAAAATAAAAAATGTCTAACGAAGTTATAAACTTAAAAATATTAGTTGCATTCGTAGACTAAGAAATAAATTGCTCTTTAGTGAATGCATATACATACATAATTTATTATAAGGCAATTGAACGTATTACCCTTCCTTACAAAAATTTGATGTTGATCGTTCAATTTCCAAAAATTGGAATGATGTTTGGAAAGAAAATGCGATGTCGCAAAATCTGAGGGTCTAATTCGCGTATATATATGTGACCTGGTCTACGGAAAGGGGGCTTAGGTGTCAAAAAATCCAAAAAATCAATTTTCACTTTTTAGTTGATTCGGATGGATGGAAGATGAGATTTATAACAGCTGTTTCCCAGAAAACTAGTTATCGCACGTTAGCCCTTTTCGTAGACCAGGTCACATATACATATATTTAACTTATCGTCTCAAATGATTCCTTCTATGTTTTACCAACAAATTTATCAGTTTTCAAGATGGCGACCTGAAATAGTGGACACGTCTTTTTCTTCCCAACAAACTGCTCATTTATTGGAACGTCTGATATAAGATCACTACAGCATATAGCTATTATACAAACAGAACGAGAAAAATCTAATTTTTGTATGGAAAACTTTATTATATAGGACCACTACAGCATATACTTGCAATACAAAATGAACGGTCAAAATTAAATCCTTGTATGAAAAGATTGACGCTTAAACAACTCGCGACAAACCTCCATAAAAATATTAAAAATTATAGCAAACTAGCAGCCCAGAAAAATAATTTATTGAGTCAGAGCTTCCCTGTGAACGATATTTAATGTTAATATAATTTTGGCAGCAATACAAATTGATTTTCAGGACTTCCGACCTGCGATAGACCAAAATACAGTTGGCCATGAGTAAAACATTCTTTTCATGGGTCAATTCTATTCAATACTAACTCGATAGTTTGGCCTTGGGAACAATTAAATTATCCTTCAATTCCTTTATAAGCAGCCCCGTCCCGTTGCACATGCTTGGATGACTTAAATTCCTCAAAAGCATAAATGGAATTCCAATTTTTAAAGCCATTCAAAGCAAATTCATGTTGTGGCAGTCCTGAAGGATTTAATGAATTTAAAAGCAGTTTTTTTTTTTGTTTTATTTGTATTTTTTTATTTCTCCGGGAATCTTCCGAATAATAAAATCGTTTATTTCGTTGACACTATCATTTCTGGGTGACACTATTGCCCTAGTACCAATGAAATGAAATGTCAGATGCATCTATTAAAATTTCTAAAATATGGACTACAATTACTTCTTAAATTCGGAGTAGGAAAAATTTCTTCCCCAAGTTTAAGCATTTGCTGTGGAAAATCATCATCAGTGATTCTATGAATATGAGATCTCATATTCGTCCGTAATTTTATATTTTCAATTGAAGTAAGTAATGGCGGCGATATTAAGCATGCTTTGATGATATCTGTTCGCGTACCTCTGTTAACGACAGGAATAATAGAAAATCTCCAGCGAATACAAAAGTAAAAATGAACGAAAAGCTTGCGAAATGAGGAAACGGAAGCTAAGTCAGCTCACTTCAAGCCCATTTCAAACAGCAGAAATTCGAAAATGACTGCAGAATAACCATTCGACCATTTGATGTATTCAATTTCTCATAAAACTATTAAGATTTGAGTATTTTTTTCGAACATCAAGATATAGTAATAATCCATTCAGATAGAACTTTATTCGCTTTGTTTGACAATTCATACTTTTACTTTAAAGTGAAGAAAGCAAAAGTTAGATCTTCTTTTCGAGTTACTTATTAATAAAAATTGCAACAGTTACTTGGCAGAGCGTAACGTACTCAAATTTTCTGTCAAAGCAAATGTCAAAAGCAAAAGCTGTATGTGAATTAGCATTATAGTTCGTAAATGTGCTGGATCTATTTTTTGTAACTTTTGTTTTTCATATTTTGTAAATAGAAAACAATAATTTTCTTCTTCTGAAGCGAATAAAAAAATTTAGCTAGGATTTTTTTAATTTAGGAAAATTTTCAAGTTAATCTGCTTTTGCATCTTGATGGCCACACTTCATCAATAATTTTTTTTTTTTACATATTATCGAGTATTATAAGTGTCATCACTTAAATTGTTGGTGTTCAAATTTGTTTACTTTTCTCGCAGATTCATTATTCTTAATTATAAATATAATATTCCTGAATAATAGAGAAGTATTAAAAAACATTAAACAAGGAAATTCAAATGGAAAAGCATAAAATTAAATGTGCAGATTTAAAGAAATGTGGAGAAATTACTACTCAGTTGACAATTGGCCCAAAAGAATTTTTCTTAAATTGTAGCTTTTGCGACTACACTTTTCTTCARTTAGGAGATTTCATTCAACACATTTGTGAGGATCATATGTGTAATTTTATGAACCCTAAAGTTGAAGATGAAGATAATCATTCCTTGCAAGAAGATATTGAACAAGATAACAACTTTCCGACGACAGTTTTAAATCAGGTGATGTTTGGAAAYACAATAAATCGACAGTTGTCYATTATATACTTTACATTAATWTTTAATTACAGGAAGATRYGGACGATGGTGATGCACAGWTCTCGWCGGCARRTTCGAATGAGGTGATGTTCGGAAAYTWRATKWMTCAAACATGAGTTTTCCATTATATACATAACTCCCTTTCATATAAATTCATATTGAAAAAAWTTATTTAAACATATAAAGCCTTACAGGACAGCTATGACAGTAAAACGAATTTACAAGACTTTGAAAAAGTTGAAATAGAGTTGGACGATAACCAGGTGAAAAAATCTATGGATTTTAAAGAGTTGAACATAACGGATGGATACGCCAGCGAAGAAGCTGAAGATAGTTTTAGCGTAAGTTTTTAAATATATATAAAGTTAATCCATGTTAAAGAAATAGTTTTCTTTTTTTAATACAGGAAAGTGAAACAGAAAAAAATTATATTGACAACGAAGTTGATGTAGAGAACTCTGAAATTGCGGCTCATTTAAAGGTTTTGTAATRTTTATATAGTTATATTTTATTTATGTTAAATTATTAATATTATTATTTTTTAACAGGAAAATAATACAAGCGAAAAAAATATTTATAAAGGATGTAATACAGAAAATTCTGAAATTGCTGCTTATATAGAGGTACAATAATTTGTACGTATTGCCTTATATTATATGATAAGTTTATATTAATTTAACAGGAACTTGGTTTAAATGGATCGTTTAATAAAAATAAGATGCTCGCAATATTTAAAGGGTATGAAAAGCGGCCTTTTCTGTGGGATAACGATTTGCAATTACCCAGAGATAATAAGAAAAGAGAGAAGGAAATTAAAAATATTGCTGAAGAAGTGGGTATTCCAAGCGAATGGGAGTCAGTTCGTAAAATAATTGGAAAATTAAGCAGTAGGCTTCGGACTGAATTGGTACGGAAAAAAGTTTATCTTTCTAAAGGCAAAATATATACACCTCTTTGGTATAACGATCTTACTATGTTTTTAAAGCCAAAACGAAAAAAAATTGAGGTAAGTTTATTTTTTATTTACTTTTATTTATTAATTTAACGCGAATCGGCACTATACATCAAATAACAATTATAATTCTAAATAAGACATCAGGTGAAACATATAAAATTAGGAATTAAACAAGTAACCTAGTTCGTATGCTAGTATTTTAATAAAACGTGTTTAACGAACTTTCTGAGGTTCTGTAGAGATCCGCTGAAGAAGTTGACATCACCGTGCAGAGAGTTTACCAATCTACAGATTATATCCTTTGGGCCATTGATTACATAGATACATTTTTGTTCGATCTGCAAGTTTTCAGAATCCTCGTTTGTCTGCGGTTAAGCTCATTTGGTGTGATTTCAAAGTCTGCAAAGATTTCTGGGGCATCAATTAATCCATTGAAGATTTTGAAGAAGGAAGATGAGGTCTGCAACCTGCTGTCGAGATTTCAGGTAATTTATTTTCAGGATTCTTCGGACGTCTTCTGTTGAATTGATATCGTTTCTGTGTCTGTTGCTGGATTCTCTCTACTCTGTTGAGCATTGGTAGGTAGCACTAATGCTGAGAACAGGCAGGTTAATTAGCAATTGCTCTCAAATTCCCTACACATACGATTAATCAACCCTAGTATTTCGTATGCCTGCGAAGTAATTTTTTCGATATGTTTCTTGAAATTTAGTCTTCTGGCAATAGTGACACCCAGGTCTCTGAGGTCTTCAACTTCCGTGAGTCTTTGGTCATTCAAAGTGTAGGTTAAAGGTTCCTGGTTATGCGACCTCAGATCTTGGGCCATTTTTGTGAATGGAACTGATGAACGACGATTTCCACGCCGATGGAAAGGTTTCGTAATGAAAAGACTTGCTGAATATATGTGTGATAGGTTGACAGAGCCCGGCAGCACAGTTGTATAGAAATATATTAGGCAGACCATCAGCTCCTGCTTTTTTTTTTTGGATCCAGGGCCACCAGCTGCGTAAAAACTTCATTGAAGTTAGCATTGAATTCATTTATCTCCCCATTTTCTTCAATATCAGCAGAATGATGATGACCAACTCCGCTGGGCTCATTGTATAAATATTTTTGAAGTAAAATGCGAAGATAATACTAATCTCCGTAACCGAATGAGCGGTTAGATCATTCCATGTCATGGTAGCTGGGTCGGTACCCCCTTTTGTTCTTGACAAACCTCCAGAATTCATTTTTGTCTGGGAAATACCTTCTTGTACTTTTCTATAAAACCAACTAACCTTATCCTCCATTTCTTCTATTTTGTATAGCCCAATCCAGTTAGATCTTAAAAAGAAAGCGTTAAGACTCACATAGTCGGCTTTCTTAAACGAATAAGAAGGAGGATAATTTGGTTTTAGATTAGCCTGAAAATCCAAGGAGATCTCCAGAGGCGGGTGATATAATATTTATCCGCAGTCGTGAAAATAAGGGTTTCGTTGATTGAAAGATTCAAATTACTGAAAAATAAATCCAACAGCTTATTATTTTTATTTAAGACACTCAATCAGAGCAGTGGTATCGTACGTATTCTCCCAATCAAAGCGCAGTGTACTGTTACGCAAATTGTAGTCTCCCACTATCATGATCCTTGAATCCGGAAATGTTTCTCTCAAATGTACTAATGTTTAAGTATGGGCATAGTATATCTCATAATTAGATTGTAGTGGTATATATACGCACCCAATGATGATACAAGCATTTCGCCTTTGATCCGCTCTACGTTATTGTTTCCAATGAACATAAGCTCAGCTTTAATTGCAAAGCAATCAGGACACCACCTCCTCTCTCGCATCTTATCGAAGTATCCGTGTCCTTCCTTAGTGTGATATAGGAGCTATCGATGAATTCATTATTTTGAATAGATGAGTAAAGAAAGGACTCTGTTGCTTGACGATGAGGTTAGGAACTCGCTCAGTTTTGCCCTTAGACCGCGCCTGTTCTGGTAGAATACGTGTAGCTGCTTTAGATTTCATTTCCTCGACTACGACGATTAAAGTTTGTATTAACAATTCTAGGGGTGCCATTCATGTATTTAATGGTTTGCAATTGAGACTGCTGACCCGGAGTAAGATCTGACTTGAAGGAAACTTGTGTGTCAGGATCAGGTTTGGATTTTAGTATATTTCTGGCATGAGTGACAGACTGTGTCTCAATCAGCAAAGGCCTAGAACGATTGGGTGATGGACGCCCTAGTTTGCGTAGCTTGAACGTAATAACCTCCTCTGGACGAAGTGGAGAGGATGAACTCAGTTTGTCTTCTATCTCCGCAACTCTTTTATCTAAATGTGAGCACTTTTTCGGCATAGCCGCGTTCAGTTTATTTATCTCACTCCATATATCTGAGAGGTTACCCTCAATAAACTACTTAAATTTATCAAACGTCGACTCAATTTTGTAAATTTTCATACTGATCGAGGGACTCGTTGTCTGTGACGCCACTGTCACCGTATTTATTGTTCACTTCGATAACTTTCACCTAACTTAACAAATCGATAAGTAATTAAATTTAGAAATTTATAAAAAAAAACAATTAATAAATGATAGGCACAAAATTTAGCATATGTTTACTTTTAGCCCTCTAGCCGAAAGCTAAATTAAAAAACATAATACATATAATTTGTTTAGTTTACTAAATAGTACAGTGTTTAATTGAAGTTCTATGAATGGTAAAGATATTATGTGCGTAAATATGTGTATAGGCTTATGATATGTTTGAAATTCATTATTTCTAAAATCGTAATTGAATCTTCTAAATCGTAATTGAAGCTAGCTAAATTAACTATGAATAACCGAAAATCCGAAAGGCGAACTCGTAGGGCTTGTCCCCGCACCGAGGGAGGAACATTGTCATGCTGTGCATGATTGGCAAMTCTTCCGCCCTCTTCGCGCAGAGGACAGGACCCTTCCAGCCTCCGAGCTTTGGAGCGTACTCCTTCAGCCAGTCAGCGGACGCCTCATCCACGCAGTCTACCTG